CGGTCTGCCACATACTGTACTCTCGCAGGACATCCTCCTAGATAGAGGCCAGCAAACAGAACGCAGGTGTGAAAAACTGGGAAGGTCACAATAGAAAAAGGGAAGCATCTCCATAAGGAGGCAGACATCCCAGAGGCTGGACAGGACATACACGGCCAAGATGCAAGAGCAAGGATAGCCCAAAGCCCATATGTACCAGCTGCACAGGGCTCTGCCAGACCCCATCAGAACGTTTCGGAGGTGACCCTGGAAAGGCGACAACAGAACTACTACCCTGTGAGTGAATGATACCCTATGTACTCATACCTGCATATGACTATGTAAATGGATTTTGCCATACTCCACGTGCCTAGATACCCTTCCCAGTATATATGGTTTAACCAACACTTGCATCCATTAATTTTCACAACGCATGCATGGGTGCGTTGTCCTCCTGTCATGCATTGCTCACTATGGCCTTTTGTACTCAAACCAAATGATTTACTTGTAGCATTGTTGGACTTTTGACTCAATGGACTAGTGTCTAAATGTGCTGAGAATTAGATCCTTTTAGGAACACAGTAGACATTGTCATCATTTAACCATGTATTCAGGTTTCATTTTTGTGTACTGGAGCTCTTTAGTATGTGGCTAACTCACCAGGAATTATAACCTGTCCCCGTATTTATTTATGACTTCCCCTGTCTGGAGACATACGTTTACAAAGTCTTTCTCTAGGTCTTGCCTCTTTTTATTGTGGCGTTGAGTCCGCTATGGTTTCGGGATAGCCTGCCTCTGTCAATAGTGTCCCACCACGACCATGGTTACTGGTGATTTAGTCAGTTCCACACCCCAAAAGGGTGCATGCGGCCAATCCCGGCTCGGCTGTTACCCTGACAACTCAGGGGGTGTGGCTTTCTCGTTATTATGACGCTGCAGCCATCTCCCCGTGTTTAGGGTTGTGTGGGCGTGACCGGAGACATGTTTGATACGCAGACAGCGGCGAGCCACTCCCGTTACAGGCAAACTGCTGCAATGACCCATGCTGCTGTTTGTAATGAGAATAAGTGAAAGTTTATATGAACATGTGCAGCCAATGTTCTAAAGCACCTATTCTCCATATTTGCATTAATGTAACATGCTTATACCTCAATGAGGATTTCGAAGTGTACGTCGTTCAGTATGCTCTGATCACATTTTCTGCCTTATGTAATGAAGGGATCATGGGGTTAATGTGATGTCACAGGGTTGCAGCAGACTCTGTGGTTGGTTGTTTTTTTCACTGTGGTGTGTATGTAAAATTGTCTCTCACCTGCATCTGTATCACTTGACCTGCCTTATGAAGGGGATCAGTATGACCCCGAAACGCTGCATTAAGTGCATCACACTATGCTACTCATACGTCAATAAACAGACGTATTTGATTCACTATTGGAGTGCCGGTGTCTCTGTATATTCTACTAGTTATTCACAATGGTTGTCAGCCGTTGACTACCGCAGCACCCACCCGTATCTCTTTGGAACGGACGGTTTGAGTGCGATGGGTTAATGGATTCTACACAAGTACTGAAACTCATGTGAGATAACCTGGAAAATCTCCAGAAACGTTCTAAATCGACGTTTTAACTTAGTCACGTTTTATGCGTTCCATAATCAAGGGATCAACTGAAGCGGGGGTATGATTTTTACCAGTCAGCCATGGTTTGACACAAAGTAAAAACAAGGATGGGGTCCAAGAGCGTGAACAGAGCACTCAAGGGGGCTACCAACCGCTTATCTGTTGGGCACTTAAAAGACAGGAGTATCCTCTACCCAAATGGTAGGCACTTTGAGGAAGAATACTGCTGGATCCTTAATGGGAGCAGACCACTTTTACAAAATCCCCCACGAATGGGTACATGGCTAATAAACACATGGGGTAGCAAACAACCTGTCAGGCCATTTCCAATCTCCATAAACAGAGTTGGAAAAGCAGGTGCCAAGATGGTCTTTGCATTCTTAGGGGCTCGAAAAGAATCGAAGATTGGAATCCGCACTGGTAGATACAACAGGCATCGATAAGAGCTGAAGCAGTCTCCTAATTTTGGAATAATAGTGGTGGACAGTAACTTTTCAGAAGCAAGCTCATCAGGGTAAGACTGGAACGACTCAAATCAGGGTATCAACAGGCAAATCAGATACAGAAACAAAAAAAGGCATGGTAGCACACTTGCAACCTCTGTGGTAAAAAACTGGGTGATTTGGACCATAAAGTCTAGCATGACTTGTAAAAACCTCAGTAAAAAGGGCAGAGGAACTGGGCACACCTGATGCAGCTGAAGAGTACTCTGATAATTGAATGGACTAAGAGCAGTGCACAACTGTATTTTAGGCTGCAGACATCAGCGCCATTAGAGTGTGAAGCTGGGTCACCTGGGGCCCAGTGCCCTGTGTCCAGACACTTGCAAGCAGAAGGTAACCCAGAGGTTAGAAATGGTGGTGTAGAGATTCCGCCCTGTGCTGTTTCTGTGCAGAGTTTCAGAAGCTTAGCGTGCACCAGGTAAGGGAAAAAAATAAAAATAAAATCATGAGTGCACACGCAGTAGGTACTCTGTTGTGGCTGCTTCTGTGCCTGCACAGCCTCCCACCAGAGACAAGGAAATGGTGCAAGATTTTTCTTTGTTTTCTTTAAACCCTCCTTACTTTTAAAAGGGGCCCTTTAAAAAAAAAAAAAAAAAAAGCAAAGCATACTTCACCCTGGTGACCTTCAATCTTATCCATTGTTCAGATAGATCTCTACCTTGCCAAGGTTGCCTACCCCTGGCATATACAATTGCTTCACAAGCCATTTTGAAATTTCATGTTATTAAAAATGACATTTCAATTTGCAGCCATTGTAATTTAAAGCAATATGGCAACATGGAGGCATTCTGTAGAATGTTGGTGTTTAGAATACCCCCAAAATGTAATTTTTTGCTTCTGTGATTGGCTCACTGATTTTCTCAGAAGTCTGCACCAAGACAAGTAAAATATAAGGCATCAGCTGCAATAGGATTACATTTTTCGTAAGTCACTCTGTAAAGGTGCCCACACACCTTGCGATAATCACGGGAAATCCCGCGATCGTACGATTAGTGGAAGGTGTGTGGAAGCCGTCCAACCTCTACTACTGTAAGGTCGCACGACTTATCTTAGGAACATGTTCGAAAACCCACCGAGCATCGTACGATGTTCGGCGCGTGTGTAGCATGTTTGTAAGATAAAAGCCGGACGGGCCGGTGTGCGCAAGCGCACACTGACAGTTCCCCATTGCGGTCATCGGAAGCCCGCCCCTCAGGGGGGCGTGGCTTGCGATCATGGCAATCATGATCTGCCTGTCCAAGATAGGCAGATCATACGTTTTTTTAATTACCTTACAACCATCTCAAGACAAAAATCTTGAGATGGTTGTAAGGTGTGTGCCCAGCCTTAGGCTATCTACTAAAGAGATTCAGACATTGAACTTTCTTTATTAGAACACAGTGCACCAGGTGGTTGTAACGAAGATAGAACATGCAATCAGGAAAGAGTCTGAAAAAGACACCGTGACACAGCAATATCGTCATACTTATGGATAAGCACTGAATTTGGTAAAATCCTTACAATGTACATGGACAACACAGTGGCGATTGCTCTTTTCTCTATACACTATACAGTGGAGCAGAGCTGAAAGTGAAGATTTGCCACGTTATAGGTAACAACTAGAAGTGTTACCTGTTCCTAAGACATACCCTGAAAAACCTACCATTTGTCTTTAACCACTTAGTGGCCGTTTTTTTTTACCCATGATCTCATCTACCTTTTAGGCCTGAAAGTTACTTCAACCCCCCACACATTATATATTTTCTGAAAGCAAAGACCCTGTAGAATAAAATGGTAGCAGTTTAAAATGTTTATGTTGCAGCATAATAGCGCAACGTATTATCAAACCCCAAAATGTAGTGAAAAATGCCCTTAAATGCCCCAAAACACAAAAAAAGATTTTAACAAAATCAAATATAAAAGATGAGGTTACAACGAATAGACACTCAACATGCCAGGTTAAAAAATTGTGTGCATCCATGAAATTGACAAAAATTCAGTACCCCAAAAAGTCTATAGATGACGCTTTAAAAGCCCCCATAGGTCATCAGTTTAGAGATAGGCGTAAAAATTGGAATTATTGCTCACTCCGGTGTGTGCGGTGATACCAAACAAGTGTAGCGCGATAGTTGTTTTCATATGTAGGTGCCCCCGACGTGGGGGGGGGGGGGTCTAAAAAGACCTAGTGTCACCTTTACACTAAAAATAAGCTATTGAAGTGCAGATCGCACTTCGATGGCAGTGCTGGTCTCCTGTAGCCCAGCAATAAGCTAGCTATAGGACTGGAAGTGATAATCCGCATCGCTCCCGGTCCCATAGTACGGGGAGGGGGATCGGTGAACGGAGGTCCGCTGATCTCCATAGCCAGCTCCCCCCCCCACCACCACCAGAGAAGCCGGTCCTGGGCCCGTTAAGGGGCAACAGAGCCCGGGAAACACAGCGGGGGTGCGGCCCGAGAAGCGATCGGGCAACAGCTGAGTCGCCTGATCGCTTCTATTGTAAAGCCGACAGTCGGCTTTACAATTGTAAACAGTGTCCTGGCGTCTTTAGCTGCCGGGAGTCTGTTTAAACGGGCCCGGTGCCAGTGACGTTCTATGGACGTCACTGGTCAGTAAGGGGTTAATTACGCCTGAAAAACAGCAGCACGTTCCCTGGTGTGCCTAAGTACTTCTTTCTGTGCATTCAGTCTCATTTATAACACTATGCATCTGACTGCTAGTCTTAAGAGATTCAGAAGGAGATCACTACAGTGCACTCACTGTTCTTGCTGGAGTCTGGCATGAAATCAAATTCTTGCCTCTACCTAGGCCAACTCCACACGGATACAGTGCAGAACTAGGCATGGTAAGTCAGTAATGAGGAAAAGTTCAGTTCCTCTTTAAAAGTGACACAATTTGCAAAAGACAGAAAAATAAACTAACCTCATCTTCAGGTAACTGGCTCTTAAATTCTTCCATCTTTGATTCCGTGTCGTGAATAATTCCTTCTGCATTATTTACAGCTTCAACAAGCTCCTAGAATTAAAGACAGCATTTTGGAAATATCAAAAGCAGTTTTAGCAAACTTGGTACCTTTGTGACACAACACATTGATATTAAAATGTAAAACCCGAAAAAGAATCCAAAAGTATAAATACAGGGTGCTAGCTACACAGCTAGTCACAATTCTAAGGGGAGCTTACTAGACAAAATAGTCAAAAATCACAACACCAACACTATACAGTGGCTCTAAACTAAAAACCGACATCACTGTTAAATGTCATAATAGCACAGCCCATGAACTGGTGCATAAAAAAAAAAATCAAAAAAACACCTGAACCACCAAAGTCAGAATAGTCAGGGACGTCACTTCAACCTTTGGTACCATGTCAGATTCACACTGATAAATCAGGGGGTGCCCGCCTTTTATTCAAAGAATGAAAATATGTACAAGTAGTATGCATATGAATGTGTCACGTTGCTCATTTAAAATGCCAAACAGCACATTTGTATTAACTTCAGCACTTGCCTTTCTTCTTCGGTCCTCCTCCGCATACCTTTCTGCATTTTTTACCATATTTTCAATATCATCCTTGCTTAGGCCACCAGAAGACTGAATTACAACTGCAAAAAAGTATATTAAGAATTTACTTTTATTGTACTCTGCATCTTCCTTTTATTAGGCATTTATTCTGGATCGAAGTATATAGCCATGAAAATGTTACACTGATCACCATCTGACTTTCTAACGATAGGGTGTTCATCTACCCAATTTTTTGAGCCATGTTATACCCAACCTCCTTTAACCCTTTCCCTGCCACCGTCTTAAGGCATACGGCAGAACAAAACTGTTCCCAGACTGTCAGGTCAATATGCCTTACGCCGGTGGCTTTTACCGTATGAGCTTATGTGAGGGCACTTCCGACAGTCCCCTTAAAATAAATAGCAGTCATCAGTGGTTGACAAGCCGCTGATGACAGCTATGAATGAAAATTCTGGCCGCCGTACTTAAGTGACTACTGCATCCTCAGCTTCAAAGCCTTGATCCAATGAAGTCGGGAAGAGATGTCCTCCTCAAGCCAAGTAACAAAATGGTTTTATGCTGTATATGCAGCGGTATAGCCAACTAGACAGGGCTGTACCCTTTCTTTTGCCTAGTGTACAAACTCCTAGGAGACAACCGAATCAATCAGTTCTCAAATGTAATGTCTCCATCCCCCAATAAAAGATGAGAGAAAGAGTTGGTAAACAATAAAAACTGTGCTAGATTAGATTTTCATTGACAAATAACTTACTCTGCTGTTCACGTCCAGTTCCCTTATCTTTCGCTGATACATGAACAATTCCATTGGCATCAATGTCAAATGTAACTTCTATTTGAGGTACCCCACGAGGTGCCGGAGGAATTCCAACCTAGAAGGTAATTTAAAATTAAAGATTGTAGACCGAACATGATTGATACATGCAGCAGTTAAACTGTCCTAGCACAGAACAATACAAAATGTATAGCCAATTTATTTTTTTGGTTAGACGGATTAGAATCCTTGTCAACTTTTTATTTCTCTGTGTACCTGCAGGTACCCGTTTTTCCTGATTATCCCTAAGCAAAGTGACAGGAAATTAAACATTTTACAGTCACTAGAATATGCCAAGGGTAAATCCACCAATAGGGACACCTGTTCCAGTGACAGCTGTCTAAAAGGGGAAGTCACCTTTGTAGAGATTTGTGGTCACTTTCTGCTGCATTCCTTGGAATTTACAATGGGACAAATCAGTGTAAAAAATAAATAAAATTAGGTTTTTACCCTTCTCCAAGCTGCCCAGAACCTTTAAATCACATCAAAGTATGTATTATTTAAATCACATCAAAGTAAAGTAATCCTTTTCTCTCCGTTCATTGAAGGACACAGGGAACAGATCGTAGATCATGTACCGTAGGGTAATATCGCCACCTGCAGGTGAAGGACGCTAGGTACAAAACAAAAAGACAAAGCCAGCCTAGGGGCAGCCTCTGCTGGTGGCCAACCCCCCACCTCCTGACAAGTCTTCAGTAAAGTAACAAGCAATTAGGAGTACACACCCAAATACAGAGGGCGGGGCTGTGTCCCTAATGAACAGAGAGAAAAGGATTTTACGGCGAGTACAAATATCCTTTTTTCTCTTCCGTTCATTGAAGGATACAGGGAACAGATCATAAATCATAGATCATGTACCGTGGGGACGTCACAAAGCGGTAACAGGCAGAGTGGTGGGCAAAACCAATATCCCCAACAAAACCCCCACTAAAACGGCAAAACCTTGCACCCCAAGCCAGCATTCGCAGAGGCCATAACATCTACCTTAATAAAAATTGGCAAAAGTTGTGAACAGAAGACCAAGTAGCGGCCCTAGAAACCTGAGAAACAGAAGCACCATGGCGAAAAAGCCCAAGATGCCCCAACTGCCCTAGTAGAATGGGCAGTGACAGGAAAAGGCTCACGCCCCTTAATGGCATACGCTTGAATAATTGTGTTACAAATCTATCGAGAGATGGTAGCCGAAGGTGCTGCCATCCCTTGGAGGGCCCTCCATAACCACAAAGAATCCGACTCACGGAAAGAATCCGTAGCCTCCAAATAATTGGAGGATGCGCACCACATCCAAACAATGCAATTCTCATGAACGGGCTTCGGACATAAAGGCAAGACGATGTCCTAATTTAAATGAAACCACCTTACGTAGGAAGGACGGCAGAGGATGCAGATCAACCTTGTTTCTATGAAGAACCAATAATGGCAACTTGCAAGACATGGCCGGTAACGCAAATCCTGCAAACGGAAGTAAATCGCAACCAAAAAGGCCACTTTTTGGGACAAACTCAGAAGCGGGATTTCCCTCACAGGCTCAAAGGGAGACTCCTGCAACACTGAAAGCACCATATTCAGATCCCAAGGCGACAAGGGGGACCGAACAGGAGAAACAATAGGTGTAACCCCCTGAACAAAATTGCGAACCAAGGCATTTGACGCCAACAGTTGCTGAAAAACAATCAGAGCAGAAACTTGGCCTTTCACCATGCTTAAGGCCAAACCACGATCTACCCCCAAGTTGCAGAAATGCAAGAATTCTGCTCACAGAGAAAAAACACGGAGACAGACCCCCGCCACCTCACACCAGGCAAAGTAGGCCTTTCCAGGTGTGATGGTATCTTTCGAGACATGGCTTTGCAAGCCCTGAGCATCGTGGAGATAACTGCATCTGACAAACCACGATCCTTCAACACTTGGCTCTCAACAGCCATGCCGTTAAAGCCAGCAACTGTAAAGAAGGGTGGAACACAGGGCCCTGGTACAGAAGGTCCGGACGAAGCGGCAGCGGCCAAGGAACATCTATGACCAACTGAACCACGTGGCGTACCATGCTCTCCTCGGCCAATCTGTGGCCACGAGGATGACTGGGATGCCTTCGGCTGCTATCCTGCATAGAAGACACGGTAAAAAGATACAGTGGAGGAAAGGCATAAAATCAGACCGTAACTGTACCACAAGGCCACCAGGGCATCCAAATAGTACCCTGGGCCCGGGTTACGAACATATTGACCTTCCAGTTGAGAAGAGACACCAGGACATCTACATCCAGCGTCCCCTAGCGAAGGCAGATCTGATTCAAGATCTCTGGGTGCAATGACCACTCCCCCGGTTCCGCTGACTGAGATAGTCAGCCTACCAATTGTCCACTCCCGGCATGTACACCGTGGAAAGAGCTGGAACACGCTCCTCTGCCCAGGAGAGAATATCTGCCACCTCCCACGCCGCTGCCATGCTTCTTGTGCCGTCGTGGTGGTTGATGTAAGCCACGGCCGTGTCGTTGTCCAACTGAACCCGAAACGACAATGATGGAGAGACAGTCGAAGCGCCTGAAGCTCCAACATGTTGATCGACAGACTAGACTCCAATGACCCTGCACAGTCCAGGAACCCTCTCCAGCCCAGGAGGCTGGCATCCGTGGTGACCACCGTCCAGCGTAGGAAGGATGTCCCAGACACCAGAGCCTGAGACCAGAGCCACCAAACGAGGGAGACACGCGTCGCCCGAGGCACCCAAACCTCCCTGTCCAGAGACAAGTGAGACTTGCTCCCCTGTGACAATATGTCCCTCTGCAGGATCCTGGTGTGGTGCTGCACGTAAGGCACCGCCTTGAAGGAGGCTACCATGACTCCCAGCACCTGAATGCAGAAGTGGATAGTCGACCAAGGATGAGACTAACAGCCTCAAATGAGAACGAAGTTTTAGAATTTTTTCTGGAGTTTTCCCTGAACAGTATCCAGAATCAGGCCCTGATACTCCAGGCGTTGGGACTGTACTAGACAGGATTTCCGAAAGTTCAGAATCCATCCGAACTCTTCCAAGGACCGCACAGTGACTGCAAGATCCACCCCCAGAGAGGAATGCGACTCCGCCTTCAAGAGAAGGTCATCCAGATACCGCACAATCGAGATCCCCGGCAGCGCAACAACGCTGGGGCCAACACCTTGGTAAACACTCGAAGGGCCGACGCCAGAGCGAAAAGGCAGAGCCACAAACTGCAATTGTTTCTCTCCCACCGCAAACTGAAGATAATGCTGATGGGAAAGACAAATGGGGACATGAAGGTAGGCATCCTTGATGTTGAGAGGCCAGCAGATCCCTGGATGAAGACATGCCACTACGGCTCAGATGGATTCCATCCGGAACCACAAAAGTGTTCCAACGTTTGAGATGCAGGATAGGTAGAGTCCCCTTTTTCTTGGGCACAGTAAACAGGTTGGAGTAAAATCCTTTGAACCTCTCCGAGGAGGGCACCGGAATGATCACACCCTGGGACAAGAGGTTTGCTACTGCGCAGTAATGATCCGCGAGCCGTTGTGGAGATAGACATGTGTGGGAAGGAAAAAACCTGTCCACGGGATGAGACAGAAACTCCATCTTGTAGCTCGAAGAAACCAGCTCCCTCACCCAGGTGTCGGAGACACGAGCCAACAAAAGGTCTGCAAAGAACCGAAGACTCCCTCCCACCCTGGAACTAAGATGGAGGAACACCTTCATGTGGAAGGGGGCTTGGGAGACTTGGGCTGCCAGGGAGACTTGGAGGTCTGGGAAGGCTTGGAGAACTTTCCGCCCTTCTGAGGACGGAGAGGGCCAAAAAGCCGTTTATGAGCGGAGAAGGAAGGACCGACCTTTCCGACGTTGTTACTTCAGCTTCCTAGCCTGAGGCAGAAAGGTACTGTTACTGCCGTCAGATCCCCAATGATCTCATCAAGAGTTGTTCCAAACAAGCGATCCCCTGTTAAAGGGAGCTCCGTCAGAGCCTTCTTGGAGGCTTGATCAGCCGACTGGTAGTTATGCCAAAAGCAGGAGACGAAGTGTAACCTCCGACAGTTTTGAGACCAGTGGCGCAACAGCCAAGGCCGAGTTGCAAACATATTTCAGGCCCTGCACTAACTGGTCAGCCAGCTCAATATAGGAGGGAGAAATGTTCTCGGCGAGACCGTGGTGCAACATCTTCGCCCATTCCGTCAAGGTCTGAAGGCCAAAACCAGACGCATGAGAGCACCCAAGATATAGTGCGCAAAACAGCCTCCGCCTTCCTATCGCAGGGATCCTGAAAGGAAGGAGAATCATCCACTGGAATTACAGTAGCCTTGTTCAGACACAAGACCAGAGGATCCACCACTGAAGGGGATGTCCACTAAGTCAGAAAAGCCTCTTCAAAAGGATAGTGAACAGAGAAACGCTTAGACACTGAAAAGAACTTGGCAAGTACAAGGAGACCCCAGCAACTCGCAGCCCCTGGTACAGCTGTCTTGAAGTCCCAGCAAAATGTCCTTTAGCACGTGGACCCTGCCAACCTGGATCAGCAGCAGACCTGCGTCCATCCGAAGGCGCCTCCACGGCGAAAAAGCACCGCCCCATCCACCTGCGGACCGGAAGTGACACCACACAGGAAGGGCACGCTGCCCTCAAGCAAGATGGCGGCTGCAGCCTCAAAACTAGGCCACAATAGAAGCCGTGGACTCTAGTAGCGGCTGCCTGCTCGGTGTCCGAGCTGAAAAAAAAAAACAAAAAACATGCGGCCGTGGCGCCACTAGCTCTCGCGCCGCAGATCGCTCACACCCCTACAGGGAAGCCCACCGCAGCGAGACTAGGGACACCAGTCAAGTAGGAGGAGGGGGACCGCAGCACGAGAGAAACCCACGGCCCCCAGCAGTACCTCACACAGACCGGAGTCTTCAGCCACCTCCAACCATGAGGACCCATCAGGAAAGACGGCGATCAGGAAAGGCAGACAGCACTCCGAGACCCTCTGCACAGCCCCAGACAGACCCCCACCTACATACCCTACCAGAGGGAACCGTTCAGACCCTTAAATTGCGACCACCATCAATCAGGGAGGCG